GGAACCCTCTAGCACCCGCGAGTCCCGGAATAATGGAATCTTTTTAGGATCATGAAATCTTTCATAATAGACCCTGTGGAAGCCACAGACTCCTGTAGGATAGCAGAATCTGAAGTCACTGACTTTTTAAATGCCTTCCTTCTAAGGTGTGGTGAAGGTAAAATGAAATACTACATGGCAGGCACAGACCAGTCCCAGCTTGTAAACGCTCCCTAAGTGTCCGTTGTTGTTTCTGTTTTGAGGAAACTCAGGCCCAGAGAGGTGAAGTGACTTGCCCAGGGACACACAGCCAAGGAATCAATGGCATAGAATGGCAATGGCCTGGAGGGAACCCTGCCGGGGTCCAACCCCAGCAGGTCCAGGGGTCCCTAAAGGTGTGGACGGAGTTGGCGAAGAAGGAATGACACGGAGACAGCGTTCAGTTGATCAGCAGCCTAGCCAGGATCTCTAGCCAGGATCTCCAGCCAAGTTCTGGTCTGGATCTCCAGCAAAGTTCTAGTTAGGATCTCCAGCGAAGTTCTGGTTAGGATCTCCAGCCAAGTTCTGGTTTGGTTCTCCAGCCAGGTTCAGTCACCAGGTTCTGTCCAAGATCTTTTGCCATGTTCTCTCGCTAGGTTCTGTCTCTAGGTTGTGTTGCCAGTTTCTGTCCAGGATCTTTTGCCATGTTCTCTCACTAGGTTCTGTCTCTAGGTTCTGTGGCCAGTTTCTGTCCAGGATCTTTTGCCATGTTCTCTCCAGCGAAGTTCTTCTGTCTCTAGGTTCTGGGTAGGTTCTGTGTCTAGGTTCTGTGTGTAGGTTCTGTGTCTAGGTTCTGTGTCCTGTTGTCTTGTTACATCTGTATTTATACCAGTTGATTCAATCCTATCAATCTCTATTACAAAGGTTAGGGCATTTCTTATCTCCATTCCAGGGAGTAAAGATTATGTAGCTTAAGCATGATTGTTCGTAGTTAAAGTGATTAATTACCCACCTGGCACTTAGTTAAGGGGTTTTATTCCCTCCCTAACTTCAGGGGAAAATCCCTACCTGGGGAAACAACCTTTCTCAGAGAGGTGACCTTGGTTAAAACACATAGTGCCAAGAAGGTGAGCAAACATATTAAGAACAGTATGCCATATATGCCAGGTCCCTTGAAACAGCAAGGATGGACCGGCTCCTGGCAGAACCCAGGTGGGCTGAGCCCTCTGCTGCAGGATCCCCCTGTAGCTGAGCCAGCTGGTTCTGTGTCTGAAATAAGGTCTCTGAGCAAGAGGCTCACTGATGGGGGTGAGCGTGGGAGCAGGGAAGAGGGGGACTCCAGGCCTTTGAGCTAGTCCTGGCTCTCCGGGCCAATCCCTGTGTCATACGGGGAAGTCATCCTGGGCTAGTATTCCCCGCCCTGCTTCCACTCCAGGGGCGGGTACGGCAGGCTCTGAAGTCAGCCCTCGGCGCTCAGGTCCTGGCTGTGTGTTCCTAGGCCAATGGCATCCCCTCTGAGCCATTTCCTCCTCCGTGCACGGGGAGGACAAGGTCCCAGGAGCACCAGGGGAACGGAATGAGCTAATGCTCTCCGAGGTGGCATGGTGCGCAGGCTGCCTGCTTTCAGGCCCCGGCTCATGGGTCAGTGATTTGGGGCAAGTCCCGTAACCCGCACGCACCTCCTTCTCCTCAGCCGCAAAACAGGACACAACAGCAATTCTCGCTTAGAGTAATCGGGTTAATACAAGTGGAGCCCTTAGACCAGGGCCTGGCGCGGGGCGGGGCTCGGTAAGGGCCCGCTCTCACTGCTATCCTGTGAGGCTCCATCACGGCCAGCAGTCGTTATCAGTGGCCAGCGAGGAGCTGGGGAAGTGCTGCACGCCTGTGTGTGTGAGTGTGTGAGTGAATGTGAGTGTGTGCGCACGTACGTGCCTGAGTGCGTGCGATGGTGCTCGTTAAGAGCAGAGCCTGCGCCACCATTGAGCCGCGTGCCCAGAATAGCTGCCGCTCCTGGCGGCCTCCCTGGGGACTGGAGTGTAATGAGTGTTTACGGAGCCCCCTGCCAGGCCGCGATGAGAGGCGCTGAGGAGCCAGCTTCCAGCCAGGCAGGGCTGGGAGCCCAGCGTTATTATATTAACAAGCATCAGGGTGATGATTACCATTAACGAGATTATTCACCAGGCAGCCTTCCCCGCCCCAGGCCTCAGGCTTAGGATGGGCCAGGCAGGCAGGCGTTCTCCGCCTCCGCCGCCTCTGTCCTTCTTGGGAGAGGATGCCTTGGGGCCAGGCATGGAGCAGGGCCCTTGACATCCTTGTCTCACTGCATCTTTCCAAGCCCCCAGGTCAGGTATTGGCAACCCCCTTTACAGATGGGAAACTGAGGCTCAGTGAGGGTGGCCTTGGGATCTCCTTACGCCTGCCTGAGCCCAGCGCACACGTATTCTCATTGCTTTTTCATGTTATCTGCAAACATTCACAGTGGAGCGAGCCCTGAACTGGCAGTGTCTGTGGACTAACACTTTCACCGTCACAGCAACCCCATCCACAGCGGGGAAGCAGGCCCGGAGCAGCTGAGTAACTTTCCATCCATGTTATAGTGTCTTCTGCTTCCAGTGGCCCCTGTCCTCCCAGCAGACAAGATGAGGGTGTAGTTCCAAACACTGTTATTCTCCCATAGCAGTCTGAGCTGAGGGCTCTGTGACTGGGGGCCTGTGGGTAGCTTCCTTCTTGTCCCTTGTCCCCCACTGGCCCTCAGTCAGGCCTACTTCTGGGCACAGACTCTTAGTGCCACCTGCCATGCAAAGCTGAGGCTGCCACCTACCCACTTATGCTGCAAACATTCTTCTGACCCTCGTTGGCCCCAAACATCAACCTCTTTGGATACACTCTGAGAAGTCAGGTTCACTCATTTTAACTTCACTGGCCAGCTAGCGTGCGTCCAGCACTGTGCCGGCTAGCGTGCGCCTAGCACTGTGCCGGCTAGCGTGCGCCCAGCACTGAGCCGGCTAGCGTGCGCCCAGCACTGTGCCGGCTAGCGTGCGCCCAGCACTGAGCCGGCTAGCGTGCGTCCAGGACTGTGCCGGCTAGCGTGCGCCCAGCACTGTGCCGGCTAGCGTGCGTCCAGGACTGAGCCGGCTAGTGTGCATCCAACACTGGGCACAGACTCTTAGTGCCACCTGCCATGCAAAGCTGAGGCTGCCACCTACCCACTTACACTGAGCCAGCTAGTGTGCATCCAGGACTGAGCCGGCTAGCGTGCGCCCAGCACTGTGCAATGCTAGCGTGCGCCCAGGACTGTGCCGGCTAGCGTGCGCCCAGCACTGTGCCGGCTAGCGTGCGTCCAGGACTGTGCCGGCTAGCGTGCGTCCAGGACTGAGCTGGCTAGTGTGCATCCAACACTGGGCACAGACTCTTAGTGCCACCTGCCATGCAAAGCTGAGGCTGCCACCTACCCACTTACACTGAGCCAGCTAGTGTGCGTCCAGGACTGAGCCGGCTAGCGTGCGCCCAGCACTGAGCCAGCTAGTGTGCGTCCAGGACTGAGCTGGCTAGTGTGCGTCCAGCACTGAGCCAGCTAGTGTGCGTCCAGCACTGAGCCAGCTAGTGTGCGTCCAGGACTGAGCTGGCTAGTGTGCGCCCAGCACTGAGCCGGCTAGTGTGCGTCCAGGACTGAGCTGGCTAGTGTGCGCCCAGCACTGAGCCGGCTAGTGTGCGTCCAGGACTGTGCCGGCTAGTGTGCGTCCAGCAATGTGCCAGCCTTGCGGGCACATGATGAGAGAGACAGACCCTCCTCATGGAGTTTTCAGTCTCTGGACAAATCAGTGAAGGGCATATTCATTACTGACAGCGGGACTGAACACCCCAAGGGCAGGGCAGAGGCCTGGAGTGTGGAATGGACCTGCCATGGGGGCGGGCGTCCCTGGACTTGGGGCTACAGAGCTGCTGGAGCAGAGGGTGCACCAGGAGAGACCTCTCTCAGGAAGTGACTTTAAGATGAGACACAAAGGCTGAGCAGGAGCAGGGCAGTCACAGGAGCGAGAGCATTTCCGGCGAGAGAGTGGCATCTGTGGAGCGAGGTCCCCACGGAGGCCTTGCCGCCTGCTCAGCCAGCACCCAACACATAGGTGCCTCCCGGTGCAGTCATCATTCATTCAATACTCATTTATCAATTAAAAACTTCTAATTTAGGCAGTTCACTTTCTCATTCATTTCTTTATTCTATACTAGAGGCCTGGTGCACGAGATTTGTGCACTCAGTGGGGGTGGGGTGGGGGGGGTCTCTCAGCCCGGCCTGAGCCCTGACACAGTCCAGGAGCCCTCAGGGGATGTCCAACTGCCACAGAGGCGGGAGAGGCTCCCACCACCGCTGCTGCACTCTCCATCCTTGAGCCAGCTCAGGGCTTCTGGCTGAGCAGTGCTCCCTCTGTGGGAGCACACTGACCACCAGGGGGCAGCTCCTGTGTTGAGCATCTGCCCCCTGGTGATCAGTGCTTGTCGTAGCAACCGGTCATTCCTCTGTTTGGTCAATTTGCATATTAGCCTTTTATTATATAGGATCCCCCAATGCCCCTCCCATTTCAGACTTGGTGTTGGGCAGGGGGACACTGAATTGAATCAGTTGTGGTCTCTGCCCTGAGTTACTCCCAATCTAGTGTGGGTGATGGACCCTTACCTGCAATACCATGTGATCAGTGGGCACAGACCCTGAATCCAGGCTGGGGCAGTGGTGGTCAGGAAGCCTTCCCAGAATCAAAGGTAGAAAGGAGGGCAGGCAAAGGAGCTCAGCATGTGCATAGGTATGAAGACCCAGGACCAGGCTGGCTGTGAAGGGCCCTGAATGCCAAGGTGTTGCAGAGGCTGTGGCTGTCCCCTAATATCCCTTCTCCCTTCAACACTAATGAGACATGGCTGCTTGGAAGAAAGACTACATTTCCCAGCCTCCCTTGAACCTGGGCGGGGCCATGTGACTAATGTGGCCAATAGGATGGGAGCAGAAGTATTGTAGGCAGTTTCAGCGTTGTTTCCTGTAGTGGTGAGCCCTCTCCTCTACCTTTCACTCTTCCCATGTCCTAGAAGGTGAACAGGGTCCCCTCTTGGGACATGTGAACGAGGGCAACAGCCCGGCAATTATGGAGCAACAGGACGGAAGGAACCTGCCACTGGATGGCTTATGTGTGAGTTATTCTATGAGGGACAAGTAAGCTTCTGTCTTACTTTAGTCAGTGCTATTTGAGGTCCGCTGTAGGAGCTAAACCTTTATGTAGCTAATGGCAAGGCTAAGGGCTAGTATCCTCTAGGGCACAGGGAGCTGTTAGAGTCCTGGGGGTGGGGGTGGGGAGTGACATGGTCAGATTTGCATTTTGGGGAGATCTGCCTGGCAGCAGACTGCAAGATGGGCTGGAGGGGAGAGAGACAGGCGGCAGGAAGACCAGAGAGGCGGCTGGTGTCTTAGAAGGGGGCAGAGACCTCCAGGCCCGACCCCAGCAGGCCTGCTCTGTGTGTTCCTGCTGACAGAGAGAGGGCCAGGTTCCTCACTCAGGCCTGGAAAGCAGCCCTGTGGAACCCGGCCTTCAGCTGCCACCCTTCAGCTGCCACGGGAGCCCCAGGAGCCCCCGGGGTGGGGGGTGGGGGTTGGTAGTGCAGGGCTGAGGGTGGGAGGGAGAGGCTTGAGGAGGAGTGAGAGGTGGTGGGGAAGTGCCTATGGTGGGCGGGGCCTGGGTGGGAGATGGAGATGGGGCAAGGACAGATGGGAAGAAGAATGAGGGGGACTGTGCTGGTCTGGTCTCCTCTAGTGGCAGGTAGCAGAGACCCAACCAAAACCAGGGAAAAGGGGACGTTACTGGCTCTCACTCTGGGAAGAACACCGTAGACTGGAGACTTGAACAAAGTTGTTGGGCTGCCATTCTCTCCACTCCGCCTCCCTGTTAGCTCGTTCTCTTCCACTCCAGACAGCCTTTCCCCATGCTCAGGGCAGGAGGTCGGCCTGGCCAAAGCAGCTTAGGGTCCCATCCTTTCAGCTCCACTGAGAAACTGTTTCTTCCAGCAGCCACATGTAAGCCCCAGGGAAGGAGACCTGGCTGGGGTTGCCTGCCCACCCACGGCCGATCGCTGTGGCCAGGGGGATGGATGCTCTGACGGTTAGGCCTGGGTCCCTTGTCCAGCCCGGGGCCAAGGATTGGGGTCCTGGGATTGTGCCCCCCACAGGGAGGAAGGGAAAAGAGGTTCCCCTAAGGAAGGAAGCATTTTTCTGTTACCTGGAGACTAGGGGCAGGGTCTCTGGGTGGACAGCAGCAATCAATAAAGTCTGCAGCCATGGAGGGGGAGAGGGGGCATATGGGGGGATGGGAGACAATGACTAGGGATCGGGGTGGGAGGCCTAATGTGGGGAGAGACTGAGATATAACCTTTCTGTGCCTCTCCTCCAGCAGTGAGCACACTCCAAATGCACCCCCCAGCCCCCCTTTTCTGTCTCGGGGCTCCTAGTGTCTTATTTAATTGTTAGGAAAGGATGCATCAAACCAATACCTATGAGAGCTGATGGGCTGAGAAATGCCAAGCTCCTCTTCCTAAAGCACTTTGCCACTTCCTCTCAGAAGCCCTCCTTGATTTCTCCCCAGTCTGGCAGAGCTGGTGGCTCCCTCCTCTGGTCCCTGTGTTCCTCTATTGGCTTCTATCTGGGCACAGCTCACCCTGTGCTCCAGTGAGGGACCCACATACCAGTGTCCCTTTAGGCTGTGAGCCTATTGAAGGCCGTCACTATCCTCTCTTAGTTACCATCTGTCCCCCAAGTCTTGGTCCTGCCAACTCTTGGGTGTCTGCCTGTGTCTCTGTATATGTTTCCGTGTGAAGGTATGTTTATGTGTGTGTCTGTGGTTATGGATGCTGTGTCTATGCATATATGTTCACCTGTGGGCATATAAGACTGTCAATGTGTGTCTGTGTGGAGATTTTATAGGGGATTTTTTGTGTCTGCCTCAGTGAAACTGTGTATTTAGGATGGTCTGGGGGCCACTCCCTCTGGGGCTTGGTAACACACAAATACACACACAGACCCACACAGAAGTATAGATACATGCAAACGTACACACCCAGTTGAACAAATACATAGACACAAACATACAGAAACAGACACACTAGTTACACACACACACACACACACACACACACACACACGCCTGTCTGGAGACCTGTGGCCCTGCCTAGGGCTGGCCCTGCCTGGGGCTGCCCGGCTGCCCTCGGCTGCCCTCGGCTGCCCTCGGAAGGAAGGCTGGGAGCCCTGTCTGGGGCAGGCTGGCTGGAACGGATTCCCGGGGCTTCCCCTCCGCAGACCCGAGTGTTTTCTGTGCCCGTGCAGTGGCAGGAAGCCAGCCCCGCCCTGTGCCTTCCATTCCCGCCCATGTGGCCACCCTCTGACAGCAGGACAGCGGGCCCGCCCTGCAGGGTCATAGTTACGGAAAACACGAGGCAGTGGAGCCTTGGAAGAGGAATTCTCACCCTTTCCTTTCAGGCAACACACCTCGAGCACCACAGCCTCTTGTTACAGCATCTGAGAACCACCGTGACGGCATCTACCTTATTCTATCTGAAGGTGCAGGGTCCTAAGTCAGGCTGCAGGGCACACCCACGGGGTGGAGGGAGGCCCGCTGTTCAGTAGCTGGGCCCTGACATACCACTAAAGGTGTATTCCCTGCTGCATTCCCAGTTCTTGGCACAGTGCCTGGCACATAATAGGTGCTCAGTAAATGTCTGTGGACTGAATCAGGAAGGAGGCTCTTATAGCTCCATCTTACAGACGTGGACACGGAGGTCCAGAGAGCAATTTGCCCATGACTGCACAGCAACCAAGAGGCAGAGACAGGATTTGAACCCAGGAGCCATCCGCTTATCAAACCCCTGCTGGTCCCGCTGTTCATCCAGGGTTACTCCAACTGAACGGAGTAAATCCCGAGCTCGTGGCCTGGGCCCTGGGAGTCCTCATGCACATTCTCACTACTTGTTCTAAGCCTCGGTTTCCGCATCTGGACAATAATGGGTTTGATAAGATATCAGGCATAAAAGTACAAAATTAGTTCATGAGAAATGCAACTTAAAAACCCCACTGACCTGCATTTGTATGTGGAGCCCACAGTTCCCTGAGCGTAGCAAAATGTGCTCTCAGTTATTTGGGGACCTCTTCCCTGGGGCTTGTGTCTAGGTTGGGGAGAGAGGGCAGAGGGATTTGTAGTGGCAGGAGCTGGGCTGGCGCTATGCCCTCTGGCCCCCACTGAGATGCCTCCTCCCTGCCTGGCCTTTGACCCCCGCCCTCAGATGTCACAGCTGCGCTACCCTTTGTCCCCATCTCGAGCCTTGCAGCTCTGGCTCTCCTCAGCCCCTCCTGGGGCACAGGGGTTGTTCTGGCCTTCAAGTCCAGCTCCAGCACTTCCTTAGCAAGCCTCAGTTTTCTTATCTAGAAAATGGGGAGAGGCTCGTTTGTCAAGTAAACAAACCGATCCACACAGAATCCTTAGAAGAGCACCTGGCACATTGTAACTGCTCAGTAAATGCCATTTTAGCTGTTACTGTTCTCTGCTCTGTTCCTGGGGGCGTGGCTCAGGGCAGGAGTCAGGACAGGGTCCCTGGTCTCAGGTCACCTCCACGCCTGCCCCCTCATGACAAATGAAGACAGACAGGCTGGGGACTGTCCTGTGTGTGTGTGTGTGTGTGTGTGTGTGTGCGCGCGCGCGCGCGCGCGTCTGATGCCTGAGTTTGGCCTTCAGGGTGCCTCCCGCCCCCAAGCCCCACCCTGACCTGCTCCCTTACCTCCTGCTGTTCTTTGCTCAGTGGCCCTCCTCTGGCTCCAGGTGCTCCCTCCTTCCAGCAAAGAACAGCAGGAGGTAAGGGAGCAGGTCAGGCTGGGGCTTGGGGGCGGGAGGCACCCTGAAGGCACCTGGACTGCCCTCTCCTCCAGCTGCACTTACAGTGCCGCCTCTTCAAGATCCAGCCGCATGGCTGGCCGCTGGCCGCGGCCGGCCGCAGTGGTGTGCGCGGCCAGGGCCAGGCTGCTCAGCAGTGGGAGGGGCAGGGGGCCAGGCAGGCCCCTCCGTCCAGGAAAATGCTCCAGGAAAGTGGGGATAGAGGAGGACCAGGCGGGCAGGGGGCCGGTTGGCAGGTGGCTGGTGGGCCCTGGGCACAGGGTCTGCTATCTGGGAAGCAGGACAGCCATATAGTCAGTGAGTTAGAGTCCAGCTTTCTTTTTAGCTGGTGACCTCAGGCAAGTGACTTAACCCACATGACCCTGGGCAGTGACCTCGGCTCCCTGTGCCACACTTGCTCGTCTGGAAGATGGGCATGAGACTGGCTGGGGCGGCAGAGCTGGAGACAGAGGGCCATTGTTGCTGGTGCTGGGAGCTGCCTGACGCAGGGAAGGCTGCCCGGCGACGATGTAGGACAAGTGACCCTGGATCCCCTCTGGGAAACAGGAAGCGCCTGCTGCCCAGGCCGCCGCCCTGGCCACAGGAAACAGCTGACCCCCCTCTCCCTGTCCCAGCCCTGTCCTGTCAACAGCCCAGCCTGGGTTTTCATATTTTGTGCTGCATGTGTGCTTTGGGGGACCTGCAAACCCATTGAACATATTATGTATATGAACGCATGTGTATATGAACATACTATGTATATGAATGCATGTGTATATGAACATACTATGTATATGAATGCATGTGTATATGAACATAGCACGTACATGAATGCATGTGTATATGAACATAGCACGTACATGAATGCATGTGTATATGAACATAGCACGTACACGAATGCATGTGTATAGGAACATAGCACGTACATGAATGCATGTGTATAGGAACATAGCACGTACACGAATGCATGTGTATATGAACATAGCACGTACATGAATGCATGTGTATAGGAACATAGCACGTACACGAATGCATGTGTATAGGAACATAGCATGTACATGAATGCATGTGTATAGGAACATAGCATGTACATGAATGCATGTGTATAGGAGCATAGCATGTACATGAATGCATGTGTATAGGAACATAGCATGTACATGAATGCATGTGTATATGAACATAGCATGTATATGAATGCATGTGTATATGAACATGGTATATATGTGAATGTATGTGTATATGAACATAGTATTTGAATTAGTATATACATAGTATGTATATGAATGTATGTGTATATGAACATAGTATGTATTTGAATTAGTATATACATAGTGTGTATATGAATGTGTGTGTATATGAACATAGTATGTATATGAATGTATGTGTATATATGTGAAGGACCCATTTCCTTGCTTAGAAAAAAAGCAGCTCTGTTTTTCCACTGCAAAAAAAAATATGTCTAAAAGCCACCATCTCATCAAACTCATTTATTTAAAGGTGGGAAAACGGAGGCTCAGCCAGACGATGGCTGACGCAAGCTGAGGACAGCAGGAGTGGGAATAAAGGGACCCTCTACCCCTTGCGTGGAGGAAGGAGCTGGCAGGCAGGAGTTGTCCGTCTCAGGTAGCAGGCCGCCCCGGAACCGAATGGAGAGAGCGCAGCCCAGCCTGGTGCCCTGGATGGAAGGGGGCACGCTGGCCCAGAAGGAAAGCGGCCGGCGATGTAACCCGCGGGAGCAGCGTGACGCGAGAGGAGAAGTCCCATCTGTACGTTCAGACCCCGGGCTGCGGGTGGCATGTGTAAGACAGACACGGCCCCTGCTTCAAAGAGCGGCTGAAAAGTGCGCAGACACAGGATGCCGAGATGCGAGTGCCCAGCACCACCTCCCAAGACAGAGAGTGGGCTGGTGGGAGGGCCTCTGACTGAGCGCTGGGACACACCAGGAGGGCTTCCTGCTCCTGCCCCGCCAGGGCCCTGCTGCGTGGCCTAGGGCAGCCTGTGCCTTCTCTGGTCCCTGGAGTGGGTGGGAGAGCTCCCCCAGGGCGCTTTGCTCTCTGGCATCCAGGGAGGCCCGCGTCACAGGAAGGACACCATGTTTTAATGCACCCGTGTTTCTTCGCTGCTTTTATGTGTCTCTCTTCCTTTTCAGCCAGAGGCACCCAGGGCCTTTGAGAGGAGTAGGATCAGGATCAGGAACACAAAGGGAGGAATTGACGTTCAGCTTTTGACTGAAGAGGAGCCTGCCGTCCTTGGACAGACAATTGTCTTGAAAACCAGGCTTTGTTGAGAGGTGGGGCGGCTTTCTGAGTCCCAACGTCCTCTTTGCACATCAAGAGCCCAGCCGGCTGCCTCTGAGATCACAGAGGAGTGCGGAGAGGACGGAGGGGATGGAGAGAGGGGGAGCCCGCCAGGAAGGAGGGGAGGCGGGGCCTGCCCTCACAGGGTCCTGGTGAGGAGGGACAGGTGAGGACATGGCCTGGGCCCCCAGGAGTGGGGAAGAGACTAGACCACAGAGACAGGACATCTGTGCTCTGGTCCACTTTGCCACTTACCAACGTGGGGATGGAGGTGAGATCGTGGGGGTGGGAACCTGACATGGGTGGGAGGGGGGCCTGGTTAGGCGAGGCTGACCCAGCACTGCTGTGTGGGGTGACCAGGAGGTCCAGAATTGCAACCCCCAAGATCAACAGACCAGCAGAGAAGGGCACCCTGTGGCCAGGGACAGGGGGGAATCCCTGGACCAGGTGAGTCACACCTGGTGAGTCACGGATGGGAGACCCCCCCCACCCCCCAGGAAGCTCGGCCAGCTTCTCCACACCTACCTACCCCATTGCCGTATTCGGAGGAGAAGTGGGAAGGGGAAGCCTGAAGCACTGAGCATTCATTCCAAAGCAACTGAATTGCCTCCTGAGAGACCACATGAAACTGGAAGGGGAAGTCATATTTAATGACAATGAACTTGCCGGTTAACAGCCCCTCTCCCCACCTCCTCCCTCAGTGGGAGGGTGCTGGAATGTTTGTGAGAAGTCAGAAAGCGGCCTTCGCTCTTCCTTTGTGCATCTGAGTCTGCTGTGCAGTTTTGAGCTGTGGATATCAGGAGAAGGGCCTGTCCGTCTTTACGTGTGTTCTTCCCTCTCCCTGGTCAGGTTTTGTCTTGTCAGTTATGTGCACAGAGGCTGGCCGTGGGGGCAGGCGGCACACAGCTGGTAACTCCCTGGGCCTTTACGAAGCGTCACACATGTTGTCGTGTTTGATGGTGTCAAGGATGAACTCCCTCTTTGTGGCACCTGAAGCTCCGAGAGGTTAAGCAGTTCGCCCAAGGTCACACAGCGAACTGACCACAGAGCTGGGATCTGAACTTGGGTCTTCAGGTCGCTGAAGCCATGCGCCTCTCACTGGCACAGGCTCTGTGGAAAGTGCCACAGCCACGTGATTGATAACGGTGGTTACAGGCCATGATCTACTTGGGGACCTCCCAGCATATGTCAGGGGACATCCGTGGTGATCAGTCAGGGGCCGCGTGGGAACTGCCTGCTGGCTCCCGGGCGTGTCACGGCCGTGGCTTCCAGTCATCACTCTTTCTGCGGTGCATTAGGGCGCCCGGATGAAAAGCCTCCAACACACCTGGCAAAATGACGCGCAGGAAAGACTCATGCATCTTGCTCCAATTAAGATGTTGGGAGAGAAGAGAATCTAATTGTCCCACAATTGCCTTTATTTATCAAACTCGGAATGAAGTGTGATTGCGAAGTGTCTCAGGAGAGCTTGGTAGAGTTGAGATGGTCTAGGAGGCTCTGACAGGCATCCCAGCCACTGCAGGACACAGGCCGACCTGTGCGGGCATCTGGGGAGAGCCTCCTGGTCCCGCGGATGAGCAGGGTGAGGTCTGGCTCCTGCCTTGTTTCTGGCTTGCGGGGAGCTTTGAATTTATCCTTCCCCGTCCTGGGTCTTCGCTTCTTCCTGTGGAAAATGGGGAAGGAAGAAAACAGGAGACTCATCAGCAGACTCCTCCTCTATGACTGATGCTGTGTCCACACTTTCACATATGTTGTAAGATCCCTTTCTATCTCACAAAAGTCACCTCCTCCAGGAAGCCCTCCTTGGAGCCCCCAGGTTGGGTCAGATGACTCTCTTTATACTTCCATTCTATGGATTTTGACGGGGTCTTTACTGTCCTAGGGGTTGAATGGTCCATCTCTTTGCTTGCACTCTGAACTCTGGAAAAACCAAGAAAAAAAATTTTTTTTTTGTAATCCTCCCCCAAGGATAGTTTTCCATTGATTTTTAGAGAGAGTGGAAGGGAAGGGTAGAGACAGAAAGAGAAGCATTGTTGTGAGAAAGACACATCGATTGGTTGCCTTCTGCATGCACTCTGACCAGGGCCAGGGATCAAGCTTGCAACTGAGGTATGTGCCCTTGACCAGAATCAAACCCGGGACCCTTCAGTCTACAGGCCGATGCTCTATCCACTGAGCCTAACCAGCTAGGGCAAGGCCAAGATAATTTTTGACTCATGTTGGCATTCCTAGCACCTGCAACCCTGGAACAGACTTCCAGTAGATTCTCCATAAATGTTTGTTGAATCAACGAGTGACAGATAAGAAATTTAGGCTCATAGGGTGTCAGTAAGGACACACAGTAAATCCTTCTTAGAGCCAGGAGTCAATGTCTTGAGGGGACCCTCAAACCAAGGATGAGGGGCAGGTGACGAGGGATAGGTAAGCCATGGGGATTAGCCTGTGCAAAGGCTTGGAGGTGAGGGGGAGCTTGGCTCGGCTGGGATGACTTGTCTCTGTCCAGGAGGCACTGGAAGCTGCAGGAGGAGAGGTTGCGGCCCTGGGCTGCCCCGCCCCAGCGGCTGAGCCGGCTGTTCACTGTCAGCTCTGACCCTGCAAGCTCCTGAGGCTCCTGGGTCACCGACGCATCCTGCCGGATCCAGTGGCACGAGAAGGAAGGAAGCAATCTTGGTTTGCTCCGTTTCCGCTGGCCCTTCCCTAGTCCCTGTGCCCCGACAGCTTTGCACAGCAGGATGGAGCGAGGGGCCACAGGCTGCTCTTCCAGCCCGGGGCTCCTTTGCAGCCACATGTTGGCTGCTGTCTGGCCACCGCCCCGGGATGCCTGGCCATGGCTGAGCTGGCCAGCAGGACACAGGAGGGCTTGGCATTTGTTGAGGATTTACTGGGGCAGGGGTGGGGGGGAAGTACAGACGGTGCTGGGCGCTTTCATACATGCTTTCCTCACTCAGTGCAGCCAGGAGTGGTGCTGTTAACCCCATTTTGTAGATGGGAAGGCTGGTGCTCAGGTGGGTTAGGAGGCCGACCCCACATACAGCTCATGAAAAGCAAGACCGGGATTTGGACCCAGGCTGAGTCCACCGTGCCAGGCTGCCTTTCAACTCACTGAACTTCTTAACAGACCAAACGTCTCTCTGGCAGGGTAAGGCCTGCACAAAAGGGCAGGTGGGCACATGCCCTTCCAGCAGGTGACAGGCCCTGAAGGCAAGTGTTGGTCCTGACAGGTGGGCCCAGGCCACATGAACTAGGGAGCAGGAATGAGGGCCTGGAGGAAAGTGGTGGGAAAGCTCAGTCTCCTCAGCCAGGTCTGACCTTGGGTGCCCTGGACTGAATGTTCTTCAGAGAGACAATAGTACTGCTGATGGTCCTTTATATTTTAATATACATATATATTCATACATTCACCCACCCAACCATCCAGCTCCCCATCTGTCCATCCATCCGTCCATCCATCCATCCATCCATTTATCCATTCATCTGTCCCCATTCCTGTGAACATTTTCCGTTCACCTACTGATTCATCAACTGATCCATCCACCCACCCATTCATCTACTGTCTACCCACTCTCAGTCCATCCATCCATTCATCCACCCATATCCATCCATCCATCCACCCATATCCATCCATCCGTCCATCCATTCACCTGTCCCCATTCCCATGAACATTTTCTATTCACCTACTGATTCATCAACTGATCCATCCACCCATCCATTCATATACTTACACTCATCGGTTAATTCAGTGGTTCAATGAGAAGCTTCAAGGACCCAGGCTCTTTGCATATTCTTGCTCTGTGGTACTTAGAAGGTCAGGCTTTTGTTCTCCATCTTATCTCCTATGGCTGCAGCATCTCTAAACATCTCATCCTCACACATCAGTGTTCAAAGGCCAGAAGAGAGACCACCCCCTCTTTGTGTTCCTTTAATGAGGAGAGCTTTCCTGAAGGATCCCCACTAGACATCCTCTCATGTCTCCTGGGTCAGATTCACACCACAGGGCTATTCCCAAACCACTATCTGGCAAGGGAAAATCACCATGATGGCTTCAAACTAAACAAGATCAGTTTAGTCTCCTCCTACGCTGCAAAAGACTGGGATATAATTTGGACTCATTTAGCAAGGAAGAAGGATAGGGGAAAGGCAGGTGGCTGATGAGTAGGCAACTGTGTCAGCCACTCCATCCATCTTTCCCATTCACTCACCATCCACACAGCCATTCATCCATCTACATAGCCCTCATTTATCCATCCATGCATTCATTCATCTATCAAACATTTATTGATGCCCACTGTGAGCCAGTCCCTCTGCTTCCTGTCTGGTGGGAGCTCACAAGAAAAAGATCTCATTAGGGAGAAATATGGAGTTTCCCATAATACCTCTGATAACTGCTTTATTTAGTCACAGTAAGAATAATATCTGAAGATCGTGCTGTGCATTGCAGTTTGCAAAGATCTCCCAGGACCACTCCTTCATTCCACACACGTGTCGGTGAGCATCTGCTGCACCCCAGGCCCCGCTCTTTGGTTTTACAAAGCGCTTTTCCTGTGTTTGTCAGAAAGAGCCCTCCCTCCAAAGGCAGAGGCCAAACTGCAGGAATGAAGCATCTTTCAGGCCTTCCTCAGAGCCAAGCGCCAAGAGTCCGCCGAGGCCAGGTTTGCTGGGGGGCGGCTCCTCCTGGGGTGAGGGAGACAGGCTTTTCCAGAGACAGAGCAGGGCCTTTCTAGAACAACAGACTGAGCCATCTCCGGAGCTGGCAATGGGTATCGCTCAGAGCCAGGGTGGGGCCTCACAGCCCATAGCCAGGCTGCTTCTGGGCCTAGCGGGATAGAACTGTACTTTGTTCAGCACAAAGCGGGCATCTCCATTTGACCCAAGGACACAGATTTTTCTCTGTCAAGCGGGGCAGTGCCCCTGGCCAGCCCTCCAGGGACTGTGAGGTTGGTACATATAAATCTGCCTTTGACTCAGACGCCCCCATTTTGGTCCGAGCCACTCCTCCCCCCATCCTTTACCTCCTGATATACTGACTGGTCTGTGCAACACCTGAGGACCTCCAGATTCACCCTGACAGCCCATCAAAACGCATCACCTCCTGTTTCATCTCTGAGGAGCCTCTCTGCTCAGACAGAGGGGCAGCCTGCGTGAATCACAACCATTTCCTTTCACGAGTCAGCTGGGAGCTGGGCCTCACCTCCCAAGGGACCACATTCTAGGCTTTCCAGTTGGGAGCAAATACCTGAATTGTGTATGTGGTAGTGAGGTCATTAGGATAAGATCAGGACATATTAGGGCAGCGGTTCTCAACCTGTGGGTCATGACCCCTTAAGCGGTCGAACGACCCTTTCACAGGGGTCGCCTAAGACCATCCTGCATATCAGATATTTACATTAGGATTCATAACAGTAGCAACATTACAGTTATGAAGTAGCAACGGAAATAATTTTATGGCTGGGTCACAACATGAGGAACTGTATTTAAAGGGCCAGAAGGTTGAGAGCCACTGCATTAGGATGTTAGGAACGCCAGCTCTTCAGGACATTCTTGCCTTTTATGTCCCCTAAAATCTTGGAATTGACGTAATTACTTTAGAGCTGGTTATCGTAAATCAAGTGACAAAAGCTAGGACATGTGTTTCATGGAGTTCTCCACACCCAGGGCCTGGAAGGCCTCCAGACCCCTGAGCTGTGTCTACACCAGATGGTGGGGTGATGGAGCCGGCTCGTTCTGACCGTTGTATGAGGCAATTATATGCATCTCCTCCCCAATTCGTTTTTGGTGATGTCACATTGATAACTTGGCATGAGCCCTGGTGGAAGTAGTCACACCATGGGAATTGACAAACGCTACCAATCAGCAGTGTACTGGGCTGCATATCTGGCACTTTGGCCAGACGGGTCATGCTGTGCTGTCTGTTCCTAAAACGCAGATAGGAAGGTACTGACATCAGGCCAGGCCTTGAAATATGGTCTCATGGCCCCTTCCCAGCACGCAGGCCTTCTTCTCAGAAGGCCGGGAAGTCTCATTCCAAATTTGGGAGACAAAAGACTGGAAAAAGTATAAATAAAGAGAGTTTCCTCCATATTGGGGGGCCCAGAATTTGAAAGACACATTTGTCTCTGGGCCTCCACAAAATTTAATAATAAAATGTAACTCCTGTAATCTGCACTGCAGTTCAGCCTCTGCTTCAGCAGGGTGCTGTAACTGTAGTCGCTGGCCATGGAAGTCGGCGCTGCAGTTCAGCCTTTCCTTCGGCAGGGTGCTGTAACTGCGGTCAGCTGGCCAGCTTAATAAAGGCTCTTAAATTTAAATCCTGAGTCGGTGGTCTATCTCACTGAGTGAACCCATAACAAGCAGCCCCTTGGCCCCACCACCGGCCCGTTGTTAAACATTCACCAGCACACCGCTGGGCTCAAGGCCTGCAGATTAAGTGGGAGAGCCCTCCAGATTTAGGGGGGAGGACTCTGCAGCCACGGGCGGTGGGTATTCCAGATCTTCGGATGAAAGGATGTTCTGATGTTGCATTTTCTAGAGCCCTGGGCAGAGCATTTTTTCACAGTCCCGAAGGGAGCGTTTCCTGCAGTGTAGGACGGAGTGTTGTCCAGAGCCGGCAATGGAGTGATTTCTAGGCTCAGTACCGGTGTTTTCCGGAGCCTGCGCTGAAGTGTTTTCCAGATGCAAGGATGGGCCCCTTTCCAGATCTAAGAGGGAGGGTTTTCTAGAGCTACGGACAGAAATGTTCCCAGATTTGGGAATAGAATTTTCCAGAGCTGCGGGCTGAGAATGTCCTTAAAACAGGAACAGTCCCCCCCCCCCCGGCCCCCCCCCCCCAACTTCCCAGGTCATAGTCATAGACATTTCCAGAGGGCGCAAGAAAAAAACTTCAAGATGGAGGGCTGGCTCTCAGTTCAGAGTACCGAACGGCATCTCCTCCAGAGGCAAACGGTGCTGGTGTCTGGGAAGCTCGGCACTTCAGTTCTCGCCCAGATCCCATCAAACCCCACTCTCCTTGACTGCG